AGATGCCAAAAAGACTTGGGTTGCTTGAGTCTTGATCTTTTTCAGTTTCAAAAACAAACAAGGGCTATTTTCACTCAAGATTACAAAATCTTCAAGTGTTAGTAAGATTCTAATTACAAACATGAAGACAAGTATGATTTATGGGATATTCGACTTTATTTTGTTTACTTATTCCATTACGTTTGTTTTATATATTTGATGTATATATGATAGTTGTAATCCATGTAATGCAAATAATAACAAACATATGTATTAATTACAATTTTTTTTTATTTTTTGTTATTATTGATCAATAGATCTTTTCCTGGATTCTATTTTCTATTTCACTACAATTTAATACAATTTACTGTTATTGAAGTTTTTATATCTATGTTGGAGGTTTGATTGATAACATAAGAGCATGTTTTCAATTTTATGATGGTATGGGAGAATTTTATTTTATGTATTTTCATGATAGTGTTTTTATATATAGTTGATATAATAATTTATTCTGTAATTTGAATTTGAATTTATTTGGTTTTGTTTATTTGCTTTTTTCAAAGTTTGGACCTTTTTTTATAAGGACTTCAATTTTTTTTTGTTTAATTTCTTCATTTAATTAATGGAATATATTGAAAAAATGAATTGATTTATCGACAATTAAAAACAAAAGTGATGCAAATATATAAATATAAAAATGCTTCATATACTTTATATTTTTGTCACATTAAAATTCTTAATTCAATACTCAAACTTAAGTTCCATCACTCACTTTACGCCAAACCCAAACTGTACCAAAAAAAAAATGACGTGACAATTGTGACCAATTAGAAGCTGCTAGATGCATAAAAATCAACATCATTAATTATAGAAATAAAAAGAAAAAAATGGCACATGTATTTTAATTTATTTTTGAAATTTAGTCGTTGTAATTTTCTTTGTTTATTTCCTTCTCTTCTTCACTCTTTCTTTTTTTCATAACTCTTTTTTTCTTCAAATGGCAGAGAGTAAACCAACTTGCAACTTTAAATCAACAAATAATTCAAGAAACTTTTTAATTATTATAGATTAAAGGTTTCAATTTGCATCTTAACAACTCCATGGAACAACAAAAGGAAGAAATTTTATGGATGCACAAAATACAAAGAGAAATATTATAAAATTGGGTAATTTATGGGGTGCTTAGAGTAGGTTGAATCAAATAGTATGCTGATTTTAGGTTAAGTAAGAGAAATAGGTAATGAATTGGGTTTTGATTTTAGTTTATTCTGCTTAGTCATAAACCCATGCAATGTTATTTGAATTTGTTGGAAAAGTGGGTAATGATTTAGGTACTGAGGTAAGGTTTCATTTAGAGTTGAAGATTTCAATTAAATTAATGTTATTTGGCTAGAAAAAAATTTTTGTAACTATTTAGGTATTGATTTAGGTTTTGATTTATGATAATTATTTTCAATAAATAATGTATGTTATTTGGTTAGAAAAAGAATTTGGGTAATTATTTAGGTAATAATTTTGGTTTATTAATTTCAATAAATAATTTATGTTATTTAGCTGAAAACAAAATTGGACATTGATTTTAGGCATTTATTTTTGTTGCAAACAGATAATTGTGAATTTTTCCATTTTTATGAAAGAAATGATAATGAGCACATATAAGAAGTTCACATGAGAAATATGATTGAAGAATTAATGACGGTATTTATTAAGAACAAATGTCGTCATTTAAATATAGACATAATTTCCTAATATAGACGGAACAAATGTTGTTGCAAACTTAATTTCCTAATACATAATTCTTTAATAAACTATGTTTGTTAAGAATAATTGAAGTTTATTTGAATGTATACGATGATTGTTACTATCTTATTGTTAGTATATATGTTTTAAGCCGAATTATATTTTGGCTAAGATATTGTCATATTTATAGTACTTTAATATTTGATATCTTATAAAAATCTTATTTCTTTATCATTGAGCTTGTATACATATATTTCAATTTTGATGCTTATATGATAAAGTTCTTGGAATATAAATAAAGTTTTTCAAGAGAATTACAATGAAATCATCATTGTCGAAAAACTATATATTCCAAAATTATTCCTAGTCAATGCTTTATCAATAAAGGATATTGACAAAAGCTGTTGAGACCAGTATATGGTTATGCTCATATTTATAAAGTAAGCAACCAATCTTATAACTTAAAGTTTAGGTAAACTTGAGTTAACATGTGGGTGTTTGCTACAAGAACAAGTTCACTGAACATGAATTGATATGAAAATGCTATATAATAGTTCACATAGTGTCTATAGCTACATTCTCATGTGAGGGTTACATAAGTGATCTTTTGACTTGATATTGCTTATGATCTTATATGATAAATGTTATACTTTGACTTTATTTTACTTATAGTTCTAACCAATAATGCTTCAATCGAGTATTGCTAGGTACAACATGAGGCATATAAAGATGTATGAAGTAATCAAGATGGGATTCATCACCTTGTGTGATCAATAAATATTTCAACTAATCTTGATTGAATTAACATGAGAAATCTTTAGCCAAAGTGAAATAAGAGTTTAGAATTATTCTAAACTTTATTTATGAGTTAATGTCAAGGACAAAACTTAAAACGTTTGAATAAGATTGAGTAAATATTAAACCATACGCAATGTTCAAACCGAGATACTATGTGATAAAAGGATATTAATATATACTAAGACCATTCACGAATAAGTTATCAAGCCATATTGGTTTTTCTTTAGCAATTAAGGGTCATGGCAATGAAGTTAGCATTGATCATAATTTTTAAATATAAGATTGGCTAATTGGAGAATTGGTGATTAATACAAAAAAGTTTATTTCATCTATAGCCAAATGCTAATGCTTACAAGCTTGTATTTATTACTAACATACTAAAGAACCTAATGGGCCACACACAATTGTTCAATTGTGAAAGATTAAAATTTGGACAAATTAAGTTAGACTTAATTTAATTTTGGTATGACCAAAAATAGAGAAATAAAAATAAGAAAAAAGGTTTCACTTGTTTGGTACATTTAGTTAGCATAGGATTAATTATGAAAATTTGTATTTCAAGCATTAAACCTAATATGGTCGAATGCATCTCTTACAAAAAGAACATCAAGCCACCCATTCTTGTAACTAGAATAGTAATATCAAGTAATAAGAAAAAAAATTTTCACTTAAGAAAATACATAAGGTTTTGTAAATACTTACTAGCTATAGTACGACTTTGAATTTTACTAAACCTAGAAAAGGTTCTTTCAAAAGAGTTTGCATGGGTCATCATTACAGGTTAAATATTTAAGAAATTTCTTGGCTTAAAATTTATTTGAAAGATTATCAAATTGAACCAAGGGATTTTGGCATTTAAAATAACATCCTTAGTAGAAACTATGCATACTTGTATGTATGTATATATATATATATATATATGTTATTTGTATAATTTTATTCATTGATTTTGACTTTAAAAAATTAAAATTTTTAAAATTGCACTGTTTTAACTCTGATAATTCATACATAGTTTCCCTCACCAACCTTGTCTATTTGTATATAAACAACGTTTACAAAAACAGTTGCAGTCCATTTGTATATAATGCCTTTAACTTTCAAACAATATAATTAGAAGCAGAGGTGGCCAAAATTACATGTAATATCGATTTCGATCAGGTTTATAAAAACCAACTTGAATATGACAAAAAGGATAAATCGAATAATGTCCCAATTTTGCACCAATTTGAATGTCTCAAATTCAAACTCTAATCCCACAATTTATTCTCACTTTCAGCCCAAACTGAGAATTTTGCACCTACGATGAAGCTAAGCAAAATTGCATCAACTACAAAACTTAAGTTTAGGTATTAAATTGAGAATTATAATTTTTTAAATACTTATATGATAGAAAATATAAAATACATGTGTCATTTTTATATTTTACCCTTTAATTTTTTATGTAATAAATATCTTTTAAAAATTGAGATAAAATTACTTATAAAAAATAAATTGTTAATAATTGTACGATTTATTAATAAAATATTAAATTCTTAATTTTAATAATCAAAATCTAATATATGATAAATTTAAATATATAAATAAACTAATTAAAATCATTATAAAAAGAAAGTTAAGATGATATACTTTCAAAAGACCAATATAGTTGTAACCGAAACAAAAAAGACCAATATAGCGTAAGAGTATTTTAATTTTTATGCAAAGTGTTTGAGATAAAGCCTACTAAGTTAGATCTACACTGCAGTAAATATCCAAAAGCTGAGACTACAGACTACTGATTCACCGAAGCAGGTAATCGATTTTGAGTTTAAAAGTAGAACGATATTTCTCGTTGCAGGGATTTTCGAGTGTTTAAATGCGGTTGCTGCGATAACTGCCCCTCGCATTTCCTTAATTGTGAAGAGCTAGTCGCTGAGCGCGCAGTGGGTCCCTTTTATCAACCCTCTTTGTTGTCTCTTCATGTTCTATGCTCTGTATCATTCATTCACATCAGTTTCACTCTCACTCCAGAGAGACTCCACTAACGTCCTTATCAATTTCATCAAATTTTATGATACACGGAGTACATTCTTTTATTTTTATTTGTTTATTTTAAACTCCTTTCAAACTCACACAAAGTAAAATCAATTAAAAGGAAAAAAAAATCAATCCATTGTTTCTTCTAATTTTACATTTTTTTTTATCTCATTTTATCATAAAACTAAAATCAATGAAGTAAAATTTTTTACATATAATTTTTTTGCTTTTTCAAATATTTTGAATTAGTAACTAATAATTTAAAAATGCTAATATTGATAATGTTTAAAAATTATAATTTACCTATCAAATTTTGGATAATATTATGTGAAAAGATGATGGCATCAAAATTTGATACTATTTTCCGCATTTTGAAATAAAAAATTACCGGCCCAGCCATAAATTTTGCCAAAATTGCCCACCCTCAAATTGTCTACAGGTCTCACTTATCGGCGCGTGTATACACAGTCATTTTAAGAGTGTGAAGATTCAAAATTCCCTAATTGCAGCTCAACCTCAGCAATATCCAGCGCACGATAGCTTGAAAAACGAAAAAAGAGAAATTGCAGAATAAAATAAAATTAAAGAGAGTAAACACGAATAGAAAAAAAACCATCACTCATCAATCATCAAATAGTGTCCCAAAATATCAGATCCCATCATCACACCCATTCAAAAGCACCAGATCTCCAGACCTAAGCCATCCCAACCGAAGAGAGAAATTATCATAACCAAGAAGCCGACAGAAAAATTTTAGTAAAAAGAAAACATGAGAAACCCTGCAACTGCAACTGCAACAACGACGACAACGACAAGGAACAGCAAAGGAAGCAAGACTCCGTGCTGCAGTAAGGTAGGGCTAAAGAGGGGGCCATGGACGCCAGATGAGGATGAGTTATTGGCCACTTACATCAAGAAGGAAGGTGAAGGACGGTGGCGGACTCTTCCAAAGCGGGCGGGGCTTTTTCGTTGTGGAAAAAGCTGTCGTCTCCGCTGGATGAACTACCTCCGACCCTCCGTGAAACGAGGCCAGATCGCCCCTGACGAGGAGGATCTCATTCTTCGTCTTCATCGCCTCCTCGGCAATCGGTAGTTCAAAATTTCTCTGCACATTTGTTCTTGTTTATGAATATCATTTCTAGCTAGGGTTTGCTTGAGAATTCTGGAATATCATTTCTCTGCACATTTGTTCTTGTTTATGAATATCATTTCGATATATATTAGTTAGGGCCAGTTTCTACGCATCATCAAAGGTTTTTAGGTTTAAGGTTTCAAAATGTTTCAAATAGATTTTCTGCAAATCCAGATCACACACGCATATAAATATATATATATATATATATATATATATATATGTATATATATATATATTATGTACTTAAAACTTATCCGCAAAACCTATACATATATATTTATATCATCACTTTCTGTCTCTCTTTTTCTTTGTCCTTTAGTATTTCATATTTCAATGAGTATTTATCCTTAATGAGATGCCATATTTATATAGAAACAACAGTACAAATTACTATGATTTTGGATGGGGTATAGTCTTCATGAATTTAGTGGGTGTTTTTTGGGGCAGCTGGTCACTCATAGCTGGAAGAATCCCAGGGCGTACAGATAACGAGATAAAGAACTACTGGAACACTCACCTTAGTAAGAAGTTGATCAGCCAAGGAATAGATCCAAGGACCCACAAGCCTTTAAACCCTCAACACTCACCAACCCATCTCAAAGCTTCCTCTTCCTCCATCCCAAACCCTGGAGCTACAATCCCTAACCCTAATATTAGTAATCCTGCTTCTTCCAGCTTGGAACATGCTCGTAGAGGTCAAGTCATGGCTGACAAAGAAAATGAGTACTTCCAGAATCACTATCAATCTGATGACGTTGCAATAGGCCATGGATTCACCAGTCTGCTTAATTGCGATGCTTCTGGAATAGAAATGAGAAACAACCAAAGCCAAGGGATAAGCAATGAGGAAGATGAGGATATTAATTACTGCACTGATGATATCTTCTCTTCTTTTCTGAATTCATTGATAAATGAAGATGCTTTCACCAACCAGAATCAATTGCAACAGCAGCAGATCAATGGAATTTCCCAAGCCGATACATTGATTGCATCAACACTTAGCCTCAGCCAAGGCTGGGAATCTCCCATAATTTCTTCAAATTTCAACCAAGACCCCAAGAGGCTTAATGATCATCTCAACTAGCTCTTCTCTAGAGTAAGCTTGCGCAGATAATTAGCTTCAAATATACTACTATTCTAGGGCTTGGTTTGGTTATTATTTTATGTATGTTATTGTCTATTCTTGTTCCACTTGATTTCCTCAATTTCCTGTTATTTTCATTTTGTTGTGTTTGCAGATATATATATATGTATCATTGTAAACAAAGATATGAGTGGAACAATGTATTCATATAAAACTTATTCTGTCATTGTGTGTGTGGGAATGTATTTTCATTTATGTAATTAAAAAATTTAACCTTATTTGATAAAAATCCTTTCATTTGTTAATCTCAGCTTCTTCCTTAAGCCTTCTTTTATTTCTTAAGTTCTACTTCCATCAATTTTTTATAGCCTTGCTGATTCATACAGAAGCGTGTACGTGAACTAGTACGTTCAACGAATATCTCGTGAACAGACACTTGCGATCATTTACCAAGGTCAATGAAAATTTTTATACAAGATTTTAGAGTTTGTTTAAGAAACTTTTCGAACTCAAACTTATATATGCTTAGTTCGTTGATGTTCCTGAACTAACTCGTTAATTATTTATTTATAAATTTTTTATAAATCGCTTAGTAGCTTAACTAAAGCAAGCTTTTTTCCTATTTGATTAAAATAAAATAATAATATAATTATTTTTTAGCAACTCTTTCTTTTTATTATTATTTATATTTTGTCAATTTTGTTTGTTTAAAATCATTCGATTATTAGCTTTTTTATTATTTATAAATATATTATTTATTGTTCATGAATATATTCATTAGTTATTCGTCAATAAATCCGTTTAATGCTTATGGACAAGCTCTTTTAAGCTAAGTGAATCAAGCTCAATCTAATCTTAAATTCAGCTAAGCTTTAATCAAATCAAGCTTGAACACTATTTTAAAAATCCTTATATATCACAAACTGAAAATAAACAAATCTTATATGTAAACATACTGATGTGCCTGAACATAGTTAAGCTCGTCTGGGATCGAATTGCTTAAAACCCTATTCCTATGGCAAGCTTTCAAAATGGAGAAATACATTTCATATAGTCAGTTAATAATTCCACTGTAAACCACAAATGAAACTAATGATGCAGTACATAATTTATTGAAGGTTAAAATACTAAAAAACCTCTAAACTTTATCACTTTATTTAAATAAGCCTCTAAACCTTTATTATATCTAAATAAGTCTTTATCTTTTAATTTGTATTGAAATAAGCCCTTCTTTCAAACAATATTGATTTATATTAGGAGTTTATTTAGTACAAATTAAAGGTTAAAGATTTATTTGGATACAAATTAAAGTTTAAGGATTTATTTAGATGCAAATCAATGGTTAAGAACTTATATGAGTATAATAAAAATATAAAGACTTATTTAATTAAAATAGTATAGTTCAGGTATTTTTTTATTATTTTAGCCTTTACTGAACCTGACGCCATCCATTAGCCTTTACTGGGAATTTGGATTGGTCCTAAGCTGGGCGATTTGGAATAACAGGAACCTTGCTGTTAAAGAGGGGGTGAGTCGAACTCTAGATATGGTGATACAGTTTGCAAGAAACTACTCTCAGGGGACCAAGCAATATAATGAGGTTGGGCTGCACAGAGACATTGGTACTGCACCAAAGTGGGAACCACCACCCCAAGGACAAGTGAAGATCAATTTTGATAGAGTTCTGAATTTACAAGATGGGGTGGGAGGTATTGGTGTGATTGCAAGAGATGATAGGGGAATGGTTTTGATATCTGCTACAACAAGAATAAACTATGCAAATGATCCAAAAGTGGCTGAGACACTAGTGCTGGGAAAGCAATCGAAATGGCTAGGGCAATGAGGCTGAACGCTGCTATCATTTAGGGAGACGCAATACAGGTAATAAGGGGGATTCACAGTACAAAATATGACCTTTCTGCGTCAGGAAACATAACGGTTGATATCAGAAGTAAATGTTTGCTTCTTAACTCCCTACAGTTGGAATTTGTCAACAGAGCTCGGATAGGTTAGCAAGATACGCTTTGGATGCCAGCTCAGCTGAGATATGGGTTGGGGAATACCCTACTTCTATCCAAGATGCTGTCAGTATTGATATTAAAGTAATGTAGTCCTTTATTTAAAATAAAAAAGGTTTTGTTCACATTGTGCAATTTTTTTTTTTTCATTTTAGAAGGGGGATTTGGTATCAGAGTAGCCAATTTATGAAAGAATTTTTAACTGTAAAATTAAGAATTTGGCTCTCAATTTTTTAAAATTTTTAGCTCATATGTAGGAAGCCTATTTGAGCTTTTAGTCATTTAGATGAAGTTCTAAATCAAATTTTCTTAAAAAAGGACAAATGTATGGTACAAAATATTTAATGAGTTTTTTTTTTAGTTGTAGCCTTATCTTTTCAATAATTCATATATAGAATTATAGGGAAAATTATATTTGTTTTTCACATTCATCATTTTTATTTGGTACAAATTTTTCTTTTGATTTAATTTTTTTAAAAAATAAAACATTTTATTTTATTTATTTCTTCTATTTCAAAACTTAATTATGATTTGGTTTAATAAAGTAGATTTTTATATTGATTTATTAAAATATTATTACCAAATAGTTTTCTACAAATTACAATATTTTTCATTAAGTTTGTCAAAGTTCATCTTAGTTGTGTTTTACAACACTTTTTCAACAACTCCACTCGAATAATTATTCTTATAGAGGCTCTAGCCGAGTTAAAGACCTATTCTTTATCTCATGCATAATCGTGTAGAACATTACTGAGGAGCAAATAAATAAATATAGACTGCATTATTTATTGCAACATGTATATGCTGGGGGTGTAAATTTACGAATGAGATGAATTATGTCTCGGAGAAGAATTTTAATGCATAAGTTTTAGATGTTCTAGCTTCTCTTGTATCATTCACTCGTAGTTCTAATAAGCAAAAGATATTGAAGAATGCTAATGAACAGTTGTAGTGTCCTGGGTGAGTTATTGAGCAAGATTAAGATAAACATTCAAACTTGGAAAGAACAATATAATCATATACACCTGCTGATGAGATGTTGAATATTTATATATGTAAATATATATATATATATATATATATAAGGAGAGATTAATTTATACATTGTAAAACAAAAAAACTTTTACACATTTTTTAACTATTGATTTTAATAAATCTAAGTGATACAAAAAATAAGTAAATATAAAAAAATGATTTAATCTTATTCCTTGAATTTATTGACTTAAAAAAAGTGTAAAATTAAAAAAGAATTACATTGTGTAAATTAATCCCTTATATATATATATATATGCACTAAATGCTCCATGCACCATCATAAATCATAGTATTATATATCATTTGTCCATGTGTGTGTGTGTATATATATGTATGTATGTATGTATGTATGTATGATTTAGATCTAAAATGTGTGGTTAACTGATAAACATATGTATAAAAGGTAGAACATCTTGTTTCTTTTTTCATTTAGAGAGCAAATTGAAGCATACGTAACCCAAGTGATGAAAAAATAAATAAATAAATAAATTGTTTGTAATCGCAACTTGACTGTAGTTTCTACGGCTAAGTTTTTACTTCTCAAGAGCTTTAAATCCATTATCTTAAGTTTCTATAGCTTACCTGTGAATCTTTAAAGAGTAGTTTGAAAATGTCATCCTATTGTGTGCAGTCGTTGAGAGTAATAAATTTGTTTGATAGCGAATGCAAAGAAGCTAGGTGTGCGAATGCCGAATACATGGGGCTATTGGTAAGCGGAGAGCCAGAGCAGGAGCTACGAGCTAGGATGCTGCTTCCTCCTGAACCAACAACTACAGTTACAGAGTTTTAATTACATCTTCATACATTAATTCTATTAAAATAAATAAATAAACTGAATCCCAAAGCATCTTTTTTATTGAGTAGGACTGAGCATAAAAAAATTAAGAAAATTGATAACAGATTCAAACCGTAATATTCGTTTCAGGTTTATTATATTTGGTTTGCTTGGATTTTCGGCTGATAATGTAAAAAAATCAAAATTATTGAATCAATTGTTTTTTTGTTATTTCTATATTACTTATTTATAAATGCTTTGTAAATAAAATTAAAAAATAATGCTAAAATTTTTAAATTCTAAAAATCTATAAACAGAATAAATGAAATTTGGTTCAGGTTCTATGCACACTCCATCCGATTTCAGTTTTTGAAAAATGAGAAAATTTTTTCATTAACCGAAAATTTTACTATCTGAAATTGAACCTAAACCGAACCATCATCTGTTGAGAACTTCACTTGGGCCAGGCAAAGCCGAATTTGATTTCACTCTCCTGTTTTCAAGTTAATTAGGCTTAACTTTAAGCCCTCAAGTCAAGGCTCAGCCTAGACTCATGGGTGGGGTTTTGCTAGGCAAAGAGCCATCCACGCTTCTCACAACGCAGCCCAATTATTTAAGCATGAATTTAGTTTTCATGTATCTTATCACTTCTTAAAAGATAAATCTTTATGTATGAAATAAGTATATAACTCAAATGTATTATTAAATTCTATTTTAATTTATTTAATCAATTATATTATTTTTACGTCACACACTTTTCTTATAATTTTCTTTCATGAATTTATTGGTGGAGTCTAAAAACTTAATTGAGGTGTATGTGTTCATTGTTATTCAAATATAAACTCTATTCTTTTATCTTTTGATATAGTGATTAAGAGATTTAAAAAAAAAATCATGGGATTCCATTTTATTTTCTCAATTTTTTTTTTTCAAAGCTTTGTCCTCATATGATAATAAAAAAATAATATATATTATATAGTTTAAGCATAAATACAAATATAAATATATATATATAAAAATTTGTTTCTATTTTGGATTGACAATAATTTAATTTGTTTTTATTATATAATAGACGAAGTTTGAGCAAGCAGCCAAACACCGTAATAATAATAATAATAATAATAATAATAATAATAATAATAATAATAATATACATGACCCTCAACTACCCCGAAATGAAACTACCGGTCCTAATTTCCGTACAACTTCAGATTGGTAGCTGCTTGACTTATTTCATTTAACCATTTCTTTCCTTCAAATTTTCTATTCAATTCAAAAGCACAACCATTTGGCCTAACGGTCAACCGTTGTCTTCTCCGCTCCCCAATTAGCTATTACGATATATATATATATATATATATATATAAGAAAAATATATGTGGTAATTTTGAAAATTAGATTTTTCCAAAAAAACGATGAAGGACGAGGATCCCCTGCTTATTTACAATTACTTTTGTGTGCCTCAGCAAATTATATATTTACCCAGAAAAAAAAAAAATCAAAACTGGAAATATTAAAAGCTCTACATGCAGTTTCTCTATTGGCTTGGCACAAGGTACAATTTCTATAAACGATTCAACCTTAAACGTAACACAACTGAGAAACATATGTATCATCATCTTATAAATATAATCGAGAATAGAGACATTAATGTATGTTTTAATTAATTTGTTATGAATCATAGAAACAAAAGCCGCTAAAT